TGTACACAGGTTTCCATCAATCCTTCTATCAGTCTGTATCTGTGTACTTAAGACCCAGGATGTGTGTATAATGGGAAGAATTGATGTGTTTTGATCCAGGAGCTGCTCTCACACTGACCTTTGTGTTGCTGCCTTCATAACAAACTACAAAATCAATTTAACATAATTCTGTCCACGCACACACCTGATGGTGCAGTCGCATGTGTGTGCGTATGATTTTTAGAAAGCTAATCATTGATCTGGTGAACAACAACAACAACAACCTGCGTGTGTGTTTGTGTGTCATTTCAGAAACCAAGCGTTGCCTCAGAGCGTGTTTGAGATATAAAAGCCATTGATCTATAGCGAGGCCCTCGCCATAGCTGGTCAGGCCAGCGTATTGATCCTCAGCAGGTAAAATAGTCCCGATGTCCCGATGACAGAGGGCTGGTGTACAGTGGAAACGTCCCACTGCAGATAGAAGAGGAAAAGCTGCTCCGTGCAATCTCCTACAAACCAGGTAATTACAGTTTACCCCTCTTAAATAGCCCATGTTTTTATCAGAGCGAGTCACACTCTGCAGAAATCTACTCCTCATGCATGCGTCCTCTCTGAAAACCCAAATGACCCAGTCCACCTGTTGTTACCATCAAGTGTTGAGCTGATCTTAACACACACACACACAAGGACACAGGCCACTGCTGCTGCGGCTGCTTCCTCCACACCAGAGGAATGAATAGAATTAGAACAATGTGGGTGCAGGCTATTAACTGGCATTTGAGGGCAAATGGAAGAGGCTGAGTCATCAGATGCCTGCACCTTTTGTTACGAGTGCACAAACCCTCTGACAAACAGGCACAGCAGTGCTTGTATGAAGTAACCTTGTTGAATCAGTACCAGTCGTAAAGTAACTGAGGACATTTAGAAAAAGACTGTGTCACCCTATGGTTCTCACATTGAGATACGAGGTATTTCAGGGATGACCGGGGATGGTTGTAACATTGTAACACAATTACTCACTTTTTATAACAATGTCTGCTTTGTAGTACCATCAAACTTCAATCATGTTTATTGTGTGTCTATGTAGTTATCTTTGATGACTGTTACTTTTAGCCCCAGTGTATATCCTAATCACATTCTACCCGATGCATCGTATGTTCCAACTAACCCAGAATATGGTGTGAAGTTTCACTGTGTCTGAGACTAAAGCATGATTTTCTGTTAAACTTACAATGACACCATTTACAAGCAGGGAAGTGGGGAATAATCTACTCTACATTTTATTCTAAGCTTTAAAGCTTCAGTGTGTAGGATTTTGTTATATATAGTGTGGTAGTTGCATGTTGCAGCTGAACACCCGCCACTTCACCCATCCATTCCAAACATGAAAGAGAACCTGTGGTAGCCTTTAGTTGTCATAAAAAACTCAAAAAGTGTTTAGTTTGGGACCCCCTCGATGTAAATATAAAGTATTTCAAAATAAAGGGGGCAAATTTGAATTGAATTTCCCTACAGGGATTAATAAAGTACTTCTGATTCTGATAAAGAAAACTACAATTCATACAATTCACGTCCCATTAATAATTCCACAACCTGTCTTAGGTTGAGAACAACTGCATTTAACTGCAGTACATTAATGCATAGTAGTTAAAACTAGGAGTATCTCCACCTTTAAGAATAAAATCTGTTAAATGGCCCACTTAGCATGCAAGTACTTTTATTTTGATCCATCAAATATATTTGGCTGATAATACTAATGTCCTCTTGTAAACACAGCCCATTGTCTTGTAACAGAAAAGTCTTATCTAAGAAATCATTTGGCAGAACCCCAGCCTGTTCTCATGTGTGTAAAGTGCAGCTCAAAAAGTGAAAGCAGTGTTTTACATGTGAACCATTCCTCTCGGTTATAGGTTTTAGCAGAAACCCGATGACACTGTCAGATAATAAAAGACAAAAGAGGGATCATCTCAACTATACCGCAAATATTTTCATTTGCAGTTGTTCCCAGTGTAAATAATAGAAAATATATCTCTTATACCTTCTGTGTAAAATACTGGATACTTTTGACTCTTCAGGCTTCTAAACATCACATGGGACAAATAGATATGGTTTCATTTGAGATGATCAGAGGCCGAGAAGGATGCGAGTCAGTGGTTTAACAGATTCGTGGCAGGATGAGGAGTGAATCATTAGGTCCAGGTGGGACCAGATGCTGCTTTTTCAATCCATTTTGTGCTTAGAGTGTGTAGAAGCTAATCATAAAAAATAACACATGAAGCTATTGTTTGCTGATTTTATGTACCATTTTGAGATATCAGCAGTATTTATAATATTTTCTGGTATTATGTTTATGTATTTAATATCTGTAGTATTAGATCTGCAAATAGAGGTTACACTTCAAAACAACAGAAGGGAAATAATGACAAATTACTAATGGCTAATGGCACATACTGTAACTTGTATGTAATGTAGATAAAAGCACAAAATTTGTATTGTTTGACGAAAACCGTCAAATAGCCAACATAAATAAGTTTCAGTTTAAGTCGTATTAAATGACACTAAGTAAGAATAACTGCAGCTGCTGAGCACTGACCTCCAGCGTTAAGCAACCCAGTATCAGATCATTATTATTAAGTTAAGCCGAAGTGAAATGGATTTTTAACTGTACCTTGGACTTGTTGGATGTTCAGTGATAACCTTCAGTCCCTCAAAGTCTCGGGGAAAAGCAGTGTTACCATAGAAACAAACGCAGCGCCTTCCTCAAACCTTGTTTGGCCCCAGTCGAATGTGAAAAGATGATGGAGGCAACGTTAAAATCAGGCAGCAAAAACGACACACAGCAATTGTGTTAAGCTGGATCACACGAGGGTCTAAAAATACACCACAGGAGAAAATGGAAGGAAAATCCAGAGAACAATTTTTCAGCTTATGTTGTGTTCTTGGTGTTTTCAAAGTTGTTCTTCAGAGGCTTCAATTTGTGTTCAAGAAGTTCTCGAGTCAAAGTGTCTGGAGAGAGTGAGACCGAAAGAGAGAGAGACAGACAGAGAGAAGCAGGGAGAAGGGGTCGACCCACAGAGTTTCACCCTGCCCCCTCAGAGGGTCCAAAATAGATAGATAAAGAAATGGAGTAAGGGAGGGTGGTGATCTCAAAAGAAGAGAGGGAGTAAAGGGAGAACGGAGAGAGGGAACACGAGTGTAAAGGAGCAAAGATCAAGGGATGGAGAGGAGGAAGAAAAAGGAGGAAAGAATAAAATGAAGAGGGAAAGGTCGAGAAGTCTCCCGAAGCTGTGTCTCAGAAACACAGAGCTTATTAATCATGTTATGATGAGGGAGGAAATAACTGATGTTTCCTCCCATTGACTCACCTCAACTGACCTCTTCAAATTATCAAGACCATTCCTCTACAGCTCTACTGTGAATCAAGTGGCACTTTCATTCTTTATTGTTGGTTTAATTATGGTTTTATTATATCAAATGACTGGTGGGACAACAACAGCACTTTATCTAGAGACCAAAGACATTCACTTTGTGCCCTTGACAACAACTTAAAGAACAAACTCTTGAGAACTTTAAACGTCTTCTGATCCTTCCTGTCCTTCCTCCCAGGGAAACATATATCCTCCTAAGTGCCCTACCTTGTCAAACAGAGGTCAAAGTCGGGGGTAAATAAGTAAATAAAATATCTAATTGAGCCCCATGCGAGTTTTTAAACCCTGCCACAACCTGTTTTTGGGGCCCAGTTTAAAGGAGAGTGTGTTTGTGTGTGTGTGTCTCTGTGACAGAGCAGTGGGAAGGAGTAACCTGACCCCCCAGTCTTGCCCTGGGAGCCTGCGCTGCAGAGGCTATAATTAGAGGTACAGACAGCAGCTGGTGTTAACATAGGACTGGACTGCTTTATATGTAGGGCGTGCAGAGGGGGCTGAGGGCCGGGGGACACAACACGTACACACACACACACACACAATTCAGGTCCTATTCTTTTCTCCATGAGAGTATGTATAAGAGACATTGGGGCATTTATGTTCAACTTTTTAAAATAGCAAGCATCTCACTAATGTTATTAATATTACATTTGGAAAAAACATAATCAATTTAAGTTATTAAGATGTATTCATAATAAACAACTGGAAACATGTGATGCTGGACTTCATGTAATGTAATGTAGGGACTCTAAAATGATTTAAAAACCTATTTCCTGTTTTACTTTGTAGTCACTCACCTTTGACCTGTTTTACTTTATGTTTTTAGTCACGTTTCCCCTTCTTATATCTGAGCCACCCTTCTATATTTCACCAATTACCCCTGTCTTTCTTGTGTATGTAGTCTCTGTGTTCCTCCTCCTCTCTGTCTGCTCGTGAAGCCAATAAGATGCACCATTCTTGAGACACGAGAGCCACTGACAAACAGAGATTTCTGGAGTTAGATAGATTACTTACTCTGTTCTACTCTGTAAACCCTCGTCTGCACCATGTCTCCCTATTATTGTCCAAACTGAAACACAATGAGTGACATGTTGCCTAATCATTATGAACATGGCCATTGTAGCTTACTGTGAGTCAAACCACCAGCCTCCATCCTGCTGCTCTAAATACTCACTATCACACCGGGAATAATTATGCTTTCTTGAGGCTAAATATGTCAAATTTTTGAAAAGGCCACATATTCAGGCTGTTCTGATTTAGTTTTTGTAGAACAAAAAAAAAATGTAACACACTCATAAATATATCACATAATCATGAGCCAGGAGGTTGGAGCCATGTGACCGAATCATTTCTGACAGCTCTATACATGTAAACAAAGAAAACATGTCAAATATTTGATATTGTATATGTCTGAAATCTAAGAAAACAAAACCAGAGGGTGGGTCAGGGGTCAAGTGACAGTTTAAGAAAATTAAATAAATAAGGAGTAAAGAAACTGTCATTCCAGTTCAAGAAATATAAAGGATATGAATAAAACACACACAAAGGAAAACACATTAAGATCGGGCTCTGTACACATCTCATAAACAGAGGTAGTTCAAAGTATTAAACTGTAGTTGCATAAAATACGAAACATAAGACATAAAAGACACATTTAATAACAGCAATAAATAGGAAACGAGAACTACATAGACAGAAGTTTAGTTATAGGAAGGACTGAACCTATATACACTTACAAATGGTCACAGCTACAGTATCCTAGACAGATTTTCAGAGGAGGTTGTTCCAGGAACCTGCAGCATAAAAGCACCTCTGTGTTTTCTGTTGACCCTGAAGAGGCAGCAGCCTCCAGTCAGAAGTAATAAAAGTTCTCAAGAGGTCACATGTAAACAAAACAATTCGGAAATCAAATTTGGTCCGGGCCTTTTGGTGAGTAACAGTATTTTAAAAGCGATGTTCAATTTTCCAACTAACAAAAAAACTGCAAGTGTACTCAAACATTTGTATGTAACAGTGACTGGAGTTGTAAAGATATTGTTTCAGGTCATACGAGCGGTGAGATTGTCATATGGGCGGTGAGATACAGGACAGGTGTTTAAAACCTTCTGATTGAACCTGGCTGAAAGAGATAAATTGAGCAGGAAGTTACAGGAACACTATGCAGAGCCTCAGAGGTTTATAACCATGTGAAGTAAAGTGGTGCTGGATGGTAACACTTCCTCTTTTGTGGTGTTGAAACAACTTCTCAGTCGTGATCCGCTCCAGATGTGTCTCCCAGCAGCCAGAGGTGTGGCTGTCCTCTGTCGCTGTCCGAGGTTCTGAAACCTCAGCAGACCACGAGAACCTGTGACTTTCTTCAGGCGTTGTCCCTGAGAATTTCTTTAGTGACAAAAATATCTGTGAGTGTGATGCTGAGAAGAAAAGTCTCATAAAACCTTGCAGGACGTGTAAAACTCTTCAATGTCTAGATTTACACTTAAAATGACGACTTTTTCAAAATATATAATTTCATCTCTCTGTCAAACCAATACACTAACGCATAGAACTGTGGCGCCGACGTGATCGTAGCGCTTGTTGATTGCTGTTAGTTTCATCAGATTTACTGTGGCTGGTTGGTTTCATCAGGTTATTCCCCATGGGTTTGAGCATGTTATGCATGCAGCACAGCAGCTATCTGACAAAAAATACTATAATCAAGACTACAAATCAAAACGAGGTCGACAGTAAATATTTATTGTGTGGCTTAACCCTTAAAGGTTCAGTGTGCAAGATTTACCTGAAAGGGATCTTTTGGCAGAAATTGAATATAAAATAATTCTAGTGATGTTTTCACTGGGGTGTTTCATCTAAATTGTACGAGTTGTTGTTTTCTTTACCCTCGAATGAGCCCTTTATATTTATATACTTTATATTTATATCAGGAGTGGGTCCTCTCTCTACAGAGGCTGCCATGTTTTTTTACAGTAGCTCAGACTGGGCAAACTAAACACCGTTTGAGGTTTTTTTGACAACTGATGGCTACCACAGGTTCTCCTTCATGTTTGGAAGGGGTTGGTGAGGTGAGGGGTGTTCAGCTGCAACATGCAACTTCTCCACTAGATGTCACTAGATTCTACACACTGAAGCTTTAAAGAACATTAGAGCTGATTGGTACTTCAGTAGACAAGCTTCTCTCCTGTGGAATCAGCTCCCAGTTTCAGTTCAGGAGGCATAAACCCTCTCTATGTTGAAGAGTTGGCTTAACTACTTCCTTTGTGATAAAGCTTATAGTTAGAGCTGGTTCAGGTCAGTCTTTGACCAGCTCTTATCAAAGTCAAAGTCAACTTTAATATAAATTCTGCCATATGTACAAGACATAGACAGTATTAAAATGCAGTTTCTCTCTGATCCCTGAATCGTCAACATACGTCTACAGTACAAAATAAGAACACAACATAAAAGGCACAGGAGAGATAATGAGCCTATGTTGTCGAGGGACACATGACACATGGAGCTTCTCTTTCCTCCTCTCCCTCTTCGTCACATTAATTTCTCATTAGTACATGTTACTGACTTGACGTCTTCCCCGGAGTCTCTGCGCATTAATGTCAAAGATACAGGATCACAGCTGCGCCACATTGTGGATTGCGATCATTGTGGAACGTGGTCATGGATCACTGTGGCAGTTGATCGTAAATTATGATTACAAACTAGATGGCATAGATATACAATATGTCAACTCACATGTTCTACTATTACCGCTATCATTACAATTGTCACTGCTGCTCCCTTTATGTCTGTTTTTCTTTTGTTTAAATACTTGAAACATTGACACAATCCTCCATTTTTTGCCGTGTTTTCTCATGAATGTTGAAAATATCCTCATTTGTTGACATGTTCTGTTATATATGCGATATCTTCTCCTGTTAACAGGGTTTTTGGTGTTTTTTCTCTCACTCTAGTTAAGGATTAAGAGCAGATGATGTTCATTAGGCCCTATGAGGCAAATTGTAATTTGTAAATATAGGCTGAGTGAATTTGATCTTTCTTCCTGAAATCATTTCTCTCTACTGAGACCTGTAGCAGGGCTTTACTTGCCGTGGCTCAATTAGTGCAGGTCACTTTTACAGTTTCAGAAAGAAGACTGCAACCAACATCAGCAGGGCAAACAAAACAGCCATTTTCAAAGAGGCAGGTTTAGAACAGAAACTAATTAAAAATGTATATCATTCATCACACCTGAACTTTGACAAGTCAAATGCAGGAAGACAGAAGAGACAATGAGCATGAAAAAATCACAAAAACATTAGAATAAAGAAAAAAATAAACTATGCACATCATTAGCTATCTAGAAATGAGTAATTTCCTGATGTGTCACTTAAGGCAATAATATTTGTCTTCCCTTATAATATTGTAGAATGTGCTGGCAAAGGCTATAGATTAATAATTTTGATGTGACGTTAAATATCCTTGTTACCACAGGCTGGTTATTGACGCTGCCGCAGGGTGAAACCCTGAAATCGCTGTTTTCAGCTCGCAGATGGCTGCAGGCCTTTAACCGGCACAGGACCACGAGTCTGTGATTAAAAAGTCACACATCAACCACACATCTCATTCTCTCCATGACATTCTCTGCTGCCGCATCAGTC